AGGGATAATATGAAGAGTTAATAACAAATATTTAATATAAAGAGTTCGAACACTCCTCATATTGAAGGTATCCTCATATCAGTTTTTATTGCATTTTCTTCTGCATCAGTCAATATTCTGGCTGGACCCATTTTTCTTTTAATTGGATGTTTGCCTCCAACCTTGTATTTTAAAGTTACCCTCGGGACACTAAACACCCTAGCTGCCATTTTATACGGAGTTTGATGGAGCCGGACATCTTCCACAGCCGCTTGCACAGTCTCTTCTGTATAATTTTTTAAGTTTGCCTTCGTAGGAGGCATCTCAAAATTGACAGAAGAACAAAATCAGTAGTTTACACGCAGTAATTTAATAGCTGACCCCCATGTCAACTACTGAATAATAGACTATTACAAGTTTCAGTAGTTAATACGGAGTGTATTTAGACAATTTAGCATTGTTTGTTGCCAATTTTAATAAATAAACCTCTTTCTAAGTTTCAAACAACATAAACGAATGCCTTTGTTACTCACAGTGATTAAATAATACAAACTTGCAATATTTACATTTTAACCAAATCCTTAGCGATTTATATAAGAAAACACTTAAAAATCGTAAGAGCCGAATGGATATTGAATGGCAAATATGCACAATAAGCCACTGAAGCGTGACAGTATAGAGATTAATAAAGTTTGATGTATTCCAACTTTTCTTATTTATTTACTTTTTTTTTTAAAAAGTGTCAAGTACTGGTACAGTGTCAACTACTGATGCTCCTACCTTAATGCACACGTTAGTTCTTCATCACGATGAACGTTAACAAATGATTTGAGCTAACCTCACGTCAGTCCGAAAAAGAAAGCAGTTCATTCTCATTTAAAATTTTTGTTATAAAATTTTTTAATGAAATATTTAAGACCTTACATTTATACATTTTCTTTAATTTTCTTTAATTTTCTTTAATTTTATTGATTGAATATTCAGGTATCTAGTATATTCTGTACATATTGTTATCTTTGTAGATCTATACAATTCTCCCAACCTATACATCATTCACATAACCTTTACAGTTTGAACAAAAAAATTCTCGACTTCTTACTTTTAAAAGTTTCCTAAAAACTGAATGTAATAGCAATAACTGTTCTTGAATCCAAACCACGTAGAAAATTTACGAAATAATACAGTAATAACAGAAGCGATTGTCTTGCTTTAAATGTGACCAACATTGAAATTGTTTACAGAGAAATGATTATTAAGCAAATATTTAACACAATATTTAAAGAATTATTCGTTTCTTTTCTAGCCAGTAATAATTCTGTTTGAATATCTATAATTTGCAAAAAGTTGAATTTGATTTACAAAAGGAAACCCGCAATTTGGCGAATATGATCTACGAGGAGATTAATTTGGTGTGCAGAAATCTGTAATACGACTGTAAACAATTATTGGGACGCGATAAATAAGCCGCCTAGCAAATTTATTTTTGAAAATCCAATAAAGAGCAACATAATAAAATATTGGACTACTATGGCGATTCGTCGTGCAGCGAAGCACGTCGCCACAAACTTCATTCGCACGTGCGAACGTTAATTTGAAACACGCGTGTTAGCACCAGCTTTAGGAATAACCTTGCTGCCATAACAGGTGTAGCTACTGGCAAGAGGAACTTTGAGGCTAAAGTGTATAAATTCAAATATAATGACCTTAGTTGTTCTAAAACTTCAAAAGGGTGGTGCTGTGCAAATAAAGTTTAAATATCGATCATAAGGGCATCATGGAATCTGAAACCAGTCACTTTGATTCGGTAGTTGCACTATTAAATAGGAAACTAATGGCTCGATTTTACGTTAAACAGATATGTAATTACCGTAAATGAACTAATTAGCTTCAATGGGAATCACAGCAGATAGTGTCGAAATTGCGTAACGATAACAACCATTATTTACTCAAAATGTTCCAAATATGTTTATGGCGAGCAAAAAGACAAATGTCTGTTTTGATACAAATCATAATGAACACTTGTGTAAATATAAATATAATAAATAAGTATGATAAATAATAAATATACATTTCACATATAAATATGTGAATAAATTCACATATACATATTCATATACACATGTGTAAATTAGATAGCATACGTTGTGCATGATCAACTTTGTACCACAAAAATGTTTAAGTTAAACGTCGTTAAACGTTAATTTTTCAATAAACATCAGTCAAACTATTTTATATTTACTGTATAAATAAACATACTTCATAGAAGGTAAAATATTTCACGCCTTTTTACGCGAGTATAAAATGACGTAACCTTAAGTTGATATTAAACCTTTTAAAACTTTAAACGTTCTAGGGTCTAGGGTTAATAGTGGTTTAATCCTTACTTGGATCGAAAACTTTAATAACGTAGATGGTGTTCCAGACCGTAGCAACCCTTGTATATGGAATTGCATATTATTATCCTATTATTGCAAAAAACTGTGCGAAATGAATTTTGATTTACTGTAGACGTAACTCTTTAACGATAACAAAGTGTAAAATCGAGTTGTAAAAATTTAATAATACAAATGATTTAAATAACTGAATATTCAATATAACATTATAAACAATTTTAACAAAATTCTCTGTATTTGCACACTACAACACTTTTAATGAATTCAACATTTTGTCACTGACATCTTTCATGTAAATCCTCTTTCATTTCGCTTCCAATCTTGAACTTCCATTACAATTAAAAACAGTCTTCCACAATAGACATTTTCATGACGGTTCAATACAGACTTTTTTTTGTTTGATTACTGCAAATATTTTCAGTGATTTAAATTTCTTGAAAATTTTATTTGAAAAACTGTAACAAAGTTAATTTAGAACGAACAATTTTAACAAAGGTTATTAATGTTATTTTATAATATAATATATAGATATTAAGGAATATAGAAATATTTTTTTCAAATTTTGAGCATCTAGCCTTCTGGGTTGCAAAAAGGTGCAATACTTTAACAAGATAATGCAGCTGAATTTTACGAAAAAATATATTAGCAGAGACAATACTTTCTGGAATACCGTTACATTTTCCGACGGAAGCAAATTTAACATTTCTCATTCTGATGGACGCAATTATGCGCGGAGAAGATGCAACTGAAATGGAAATGCGAAATTTACATCCGACTGTGAAACACGGAGGTGGTTCTGTCATAGCGTGGGCTTATATGGCAGCTAATGATACCGGAAACCCAGTGTTTATAGATGGGATTTCAGACAAATACATGTATTTGAATATATTGAAGCGAATGTTAAAAATACCAGAATAGCTTTGTTATAAAATTTTTACTTGCAAGAGAATAACGATCCCAAATATATTCCTTATATTTCGTTTATATTTATTGTATCAGATTATGCAAGAAAAGTTCGAAATAGTATATAGTCTAATTCACAGATTTTAATTATGCGTTTTATTTTGAATGTTCTAGTTTTCGTAATTTTTGTGTCAGCACATTTCTAGACTTCAGAATATCCAAATTTTAGTTAGCTTCACATCCCCCAATACAAAACTCTCAAATATCGTTTGTGGACATAGAACAATTAAATTCCTAAATTCCAAGGTTTTCAGAGCACTAGATTCCAAAATTCCAAGGTTCTCAGATCACTAGATTCCAAAATTCTAAAGTTCTTAGATCACTAGATTTCCAAATTTCTAGATCCTCGAATCTTCAGATCTTCAAATCGCTCGATCTCCTAATCATTAGATAACCTACTATCTACATCCCCGAATCTCTAGATTTAGGTATTTTTGGATACCAAATTTGTAGACCTTGGAAATCCTAATCCCCGAATCCTGAATTCCTTAATTCCTAAATTCCTGAATTTCTACATCCCTAAATCTCTAAATCTTGAAATTCTTAAGTACTAAATTTGTAGCCCCCGAACTTCCTAGATCGCCAAATTCTTAGATCCCCAAATTGCTATATCCTCAAATTCATAAATCTCAAAAACCTAGAATCCCCGTATTTCTACACGAAAATACCCTTTCAGTACTTAAATTTATCTCCACATTCTCAAATACCAAAATCCTAAATCTACCGGTGTCCAAATTGCGTGTCTCGAAATTCTTAATTCATTCGGAATTTCTCAAATCCCCTAAAATCCTTAATAGGCAATAATTAAGAGAGTTAAGATCCAGATTCGTTGTTGTCCGTACATTTGTTCGTATGCCGTGTGGATCGTGATGAATGGGAGACGAAAACGGTGGAACTTTATTTCGAGAGAAGAAACAATTACCGTAGATGTGGATATAAATCGGTATGGTATAAAGAACGTTAAACCAATATTCGCTGTTGACGGTGAAGATATAATGTTCGTACTTTCTCTTACGATCAGTCTATTTACTTCAATAACACAAAAATTAACAAACAGTTACAAAATGATTCAACAGATCTATAGTTTACAATAGACTCAAGCGATACAATATTCTATGTTTTATGCTCTTTTCCGAAAGTGGACAGAAATAGCAAATGAAAAGAAAAAGTATAGAAAGTCGATGTGAAAGAGAAAGTCGACAAAAGTCGTAGGATACAGGTCTGGCTGCCAAATGTGCAATATGACCAGGCTAGCACGAGACCCTGGGAAAATCGAAAGTTGAAATAGGAAATAAGTGTTTAGAAACGTCGAAAAATAAAGAGAAATTTAGGAAAATTTAGAAAAAGACAATTCTATACTTAAACCGTAGATGGCTGTCCTAGGTTTAAGGGAGCACCTCCCACCTTGCAGTTTCAATGTAACGTACTGACATTCGAGTTGACCACTCGAAATATTTATGGACTGTTTTTCTTTGTAGCCGCGCAATAGTTCCTACCGCCAAAAATACATATGAATCTAAGAAACCATTTTTCTTCTTGAACCAATTGGGGTCGTAGACAGGCAGGCCCCTGGGACAGCCTCGTACGCGCCAGATACAGAATTGTCTACAATAAGTATGTTGCGTTTCGGCAAAGACAAGGTGGCAGACACAACGGAATACTTACAAAACACAACCATAGAGGCACTCGCAGACCTCTCGTCCGCGAAGGTGGATATGACACAGGTATACTCGCCGGTAAGATCGATATCAGGCTTATTCAATTTCATGGCTCGGTACTCGGTGTACGGATCATTGCTAGCTTTGTACTTCAGGTCGATGTACTTTCGCGCGGTATCCCCAGCTAACGGCTGCCTGCCGTGTATCCATTGATAAGCCACTTCGTTGGTGTTGTAGAACCATTTCACGACTAATCCCTTGGTCGGTGTGTTTTCGAGATCGTAGTCGCAGTCCAGAATCACGTAATCAGTGCCGTTTTTTACGATTGGCGGGACGTTCACGCTTTTTATTATCAGCGGCCAGCTTTCTGAAAAATCATAAGAAAAGCAATGATGAAAAAGCTGTTGGCAATCGATTCCCGGGGAGGCGTCCTCCTCGTATCTTTCTCGGTTCCCGGAATTGAGGGAGAATCTTACGGGATAGCAGTGAATCCCTTTAGCAAGAAAAACGGCGACGAGAATTGCGACCTCTCTTTTTTATGACCGACGATCGGTGACGGTGATACGAACATAGTTTTACCGTGAAATACGAAGGAAGTATTTTCTAGCTTGCCGTTGGAAAGCTTGCTTTCGAGATATACTGGAGTTTGTACAGGGCGGTATAGGTAAACATCTTGGCTTTGGACAATACAAAATGTAGGTAAATTGTATGTAAACTTCAAAATGAAAAGATAATGTAGGAATCTAAATATTATAATTGCTAGCTTTATTTTTGGAAAATGGAGTTGGGATATCGTCCAAATATAATTTATATTTAGGTTTTTCCCTTCAGTAATCAGGAATACAAAATTATATATATTGTTTATTGTAAACTTGAAACTATTGTTACATTTTATCGAAATTTTGAAATTTAACCTGTAGTTTATCTACATAAATTAAAAAGAAAAATGAATTAGCATTTTATATGAACGATTTTGAAATAATGTAATACTTATAGTACCTTCCAAACAAATAAATGATTAAAAATCTGTTAATATGATTCAGATTAATATACAAAAATAACTTTATTTTTTCTCAACAAGAAATAAGTCCCAGTATAAAAGACCAAATATACTACGCCAATTTTCGGAGTTGCTTTCGTCCTTTAAATACGAATATACAGGTGGCTCAATGATTTTTTCACATAAATAGATTAATTACTTTTTAGTAAAGAATATGAAGGAGTATCAGCTGATGCAATAAAAAATATATGATTCCATTTAAAAAAACATTCATGACCTCCATATGTCCTTTATACGTCCACCTACAAAAAAAATATACCACCACCATATGCCCCTCTTAAAACCATTCAACTTCATCTGAAACATTGTTTGCTATGAGTAATAATAATGACGCAAATCTAGATGGCAAAATGTGGTGAGCCACTTTGTAGATCGCAACAATAAAGTATTAAATAATTTGCGAGTTCTATATTGCACCACAATTTCAACAAAATCAGCATGTATAACTTACTTTACATTCCTTATAAGAAGGGATCTTCTGAAAGTCAAAATCTACGAGAGACAAGAGCGTGAAATGTACTTTTTACAATCTTAGCCGTATCTTTATAAAAAAGGGGCTTAGAAATTAAATCGTGTTAAATAAACATTAAAGAGAATGTAATACCGATATCACGAAAGAAGGGTGGAAGTACAATAAAATGCGAAGAATGATCCTTCTTTAAATATATGAATTTAAATTTCGAATTCTATGTAAATGTCGCGTGCGAAACCGCGGCAGGGATGCCAGTATTAAATAAAACGGAATATGAATTGCCGTGTCGATAATATTCACGCAGAAAAGGGCTGTTTTCACGTGTAGCTACAATAAAATTTTTCTTATTACGCATGCTGAATTATTTTGATACATTTTAATTTATAAACCTCGCCCCACTTTACACGTTTTATTCTGTTTTATTTTCTATTATTCTATTGTGTTTTTAATTTTTTTCATTTATAACAGGCTATTACTGCATGTGCTTGACAAGAAGTCTCTTGACAGAAATACTTGATTGGCTGATCAAAATTTTAAAAATGAGTTCTGGTATATAATATTTTTTGATCGCATACTATTTGTTAATACTATTCAAAATAATAATAGTATACCGCTTAACTCTTGAAAGACTTCTTGTGAGACACACGCAATAGACTAAGAGAAGTTTAGTTTGCGATAAAAATTACTTCCCAATACTATCTTCTGAACCACAAAGTTGATAGATATGATTTAATTAAAACAAAAATTAAAAAAAAAAATGATAATATTTTAACCTATAAAGTAAATATTTTAGTAGTGAAATGATTAAGAAAACAATTAAGATAATTGCAATTTTTTTATATTTAGAAAATATGAAACTGTAACTAAGTACATGGAAGGATTTGCACTTTCAGACAAATACTTAATTTAAACCTGAAATTTTTCATGTAAACCGTTCATTTCGAAAGTGGACCGAGTCCATCTTTCAGAAAAATGAAGATAATAATAATAGATTAATTGAAAAATTCTTAAAATTAATTTGTAGTGTTCAAGTTTGACTGGAAAATTAAATTTCAATTTCCAATTAGAAAATAATTCAGTAACAGACAACTCATAATTCAGTAACAGTTCAGCTTATAATTCATGGAAATTTCGTTAAAAATTAATCCCTGTTAATTAATTACAAATTACATACAAAATTTAATTAACTCCCGTGTATGACGGCTGAAAAACATCACTTAATACCTTATTTGTATGATATTTAATTTAGCAAAGTCACACACATCAATGTCAACAAGTGCGTATATTGCGTTCTTGCATATCAAACGGTGGAATTCGAAGCACGGAATGTCTGACATGAATTAATGACATAGTAGTACCGTGAAATAGCACTTAAGTTACATCAATTTAAAGCCTGAAATAGGATGAAAATGATTACGGGTCATTCCACGCCAAATCGATCACTTTTGGAAGTCACCACCTCCGATTTTGTTTTAATCGAAATATGTTGTAGTCCATGTGAAATTAGGGGGGGGGGGGGGGGGGGGTTT